AAAAAAATTAGCCAAGTGTGGTGGCACATGCCTGTAGTCCCAGCTACTGGGGAGGCTGAGGCAGTACGATCACTTGAGCCCAGGAGTTTGAGGTTGCTGTGAGCGAGGCTGATGCCAAGGCACTCTAGCCTGCCTGGGCAACAGAGCGAGACTCTGTCTCAAAAAAAAAAAAAAAATTACATATACCTGGAGGTATTTTATAGTTCCTAAAGTTAACATGTTAAATCTTTTTTTGTTTTTTTCATTTTTTTGGAGTCTCACTCCGTCACCTGGGCTAGAGTGCAGTGGCATTGTCGTAGCTCAGGCTGGTCTCAAACTCCTGAGCTCAAGCGAGCCTCCTGCCTTGACCTCCCAGAGTGCTAGGATTAGAAGTGTGAGCCACTGCGCCCGACCAACGTGTTAGATCTTAATTCTTGGATTTTCTTCACCTCAGGGCTTTGGCTGGAGAAAAACAACTGTCCAAATTCATAATCCTGGACATCTCTGGGAATCCATAATTCTTTAGACACCTGCTGCTCAAAGTCCCTCCTCTCTTTTTGAGTTCTTTCCATCCCTCTTACTAGAAAGGAAGTGAATTTAAGTGTGGGTGGTCTGTAACACTTGTGAATCTTTTTATGTGTGGAGGGTATGCCTGCAGTATACAGGTTGTCTTCAAGCAGTAGCTGCTACTACAGCTAGAGGGGTGTGCTGAGAAGTTGATGATTCTACCTGAGACCAAGTCTTGTTGATTGTCCTAACTTAGATAAAGATTTTGATCATTTCCATGAAATAATGCAGGGAGGTCATCTCAGCTAGTGGACTACTTACTACATTCTTGAAGGATTAGAAAAAGCCACTGTAAATGACTAAAATGACTTATTTTAAAATGTTGATGGTGAGTTTTGCTTTTATTTGGCCACACTTAGAAATTTCACTACCTATTCCTATAGTCTATGATAGTAAACACAGAAACATATACTGAACCTTTTTCAGAGTTACTAGGTGTTGCGAATTCCAGATTCCAGAGTTTTTTGGTTTGGTTTGGCCATAAATTTAAGTGGGCCATTAGTTGTCTTGGGAGGATCATGGAGTGATTTTAAGAATTCTGAACCAAAATAAGTTGTTTTGCTACAATACTGATGACTGATAGATCATTTTGGGGTAGCAAATGTGTGATCTTCCACATAATATTTAGACTGCTGACTACTTGGTAAATACCATTTTACTTCCAAATGCTATGGATTCAGCTAAATGACTTGTATCCTTTGGAGTGTGTAATTTTCTTGCTACCATTATTTCCCTTTACCATTGTGGTTTGAGTTTGGTACCTACCTGACGGATGCATTCAGCCTGTATTGTTCCCCAGCCCTGGTTTGGGTCCTCTGCGGGTGGGGTGGGCGGGCGTACACCGAGTTGCAGGGGGCCAGAGCATGCGAATCACAGCTGGACACCGATGACCCGCCAGCACTGATTGGCCTGCGGATAAGCCAAGCCACAAACTGTTCGTTCCTTTGTGAAATAGAATAACCTTTAATAAAATCCATAGTTAGCACACACTAGAAAAAGCGTTACGTATCTTTTTGTTGGGTGACAGTGTTGGGTTCCATTCTGGCTAGGCAGCTTTGATTCAATCATTCAACAGGAGGGTCACTTCCAACTTTGGGGTGTGGAATAAATACATAATTATTTGTGGGTTCACAATATTAACACATTTCCCACGGCCCCCACTCCGCCACGAGTCGAGTCAGCCCTCAGAAGAGCGCCGTCTTCCAGGAGCGCCTTTGAGCCCGGCGACCTCTGGCCCGAGTGGCGGGGTGGCAGCTCCTAGCAATGCGCCTGGCCGCCCGCCGAGGCCCGGCCTGCTGCGCCGCGGGCCCCTGGGGGATGTGGTTCCTCTCGGCGGCCCCTCAGCCCCATGGCGGGCGGGCGGGCGTTTGCCGCGGACTACAGCTCCCAGGATGCCCCGTCCTGCGCGAGGCCTGGCGGTGCGGCGGGGGGCGCCGGTGGCCGGAAGCGGGAGCGGCGGGGCCGGGCGGGCCTGCCGGGCTCGGCGCGTTACGGGAGCCTTCGGGGGCTGCGGGAGCACAGGCGCGGGCGGAGGAGGCTGGGCGGCGCGGAGGCTCGGGACCGGGAGGCGGGCTTGGGATTTGAAAAATGCCTGCCCCGGAGTTGGCTGCATCGACGCGGCAGCGCGATGTTACTCTACGGCCCTTTGGCCTTTACAGCCACTCCTAGAAAATTCCTGCAGTCTGGGAAGTCGGGGCAGGATCGCTAGGACATGGCAAAGTTCCTTGATGCGTCGTGAGACAAAACACGTTTGGACCTGTGGGTGGTGAAAGTTGCCGCTGCACAGAACGAGAAACGCATTCAGAGGGGACTCTGCAGTAACCCCAGATACACTTTCTAATACAGGACGGGCCAGCGCGGGGGAGACAGACATGAGCCCCTCGGACTCCCTCCTTCCCGGGTGTGCCCAAGGTGGGTTTGGGTTTGGCATAGTGGAGGAGGGGGAAGGAGAGAGCTAACACTGAGGAAAACTGTTCCCAGAGGGTGAGCCATATTTACAGCCAGAGTGAAAGGAAATATTTCCACCGTCAGTGAAAATCGAGTCAGGGGGTAACCAGAGCTTCACGCCCGCTGTCGTGCTGAATGCTGCCTAGAAAGTACCATGGGTGTTGTCTGGGAAGGGGTTTCAGCCATTGAGCCAGGCACCCACCTCCTTTCTGAGATGGGTACCTGCCACTTCTTGCATCCTCTTGGTAAGGGATGATGGCTACTGCACGTTGTCCGAATAATCGCGAAGTCTCGCGAAGTCTTGGAAAGCCGTTACATTATCCAGAACACTTTGGTTCTTTTTTCTTTTCCTTTCCTTTTTTTTTTTATTTTTTGGAGATAGAGTCTCACTCTGCTGCCCAGGCTAGAGTGCCATGGCGTCAGCCTCGCTCACAGCAACCTCACACTCCTGGGCTCAAGCGATCCTTCTGCCTCAGCCTCCCGAGTAGCTGGGACTACAGGCATGCGCCACCATGCCCGGCTAATTTTTTCTATATATATTTTTAGTTGTCCAGATAATTTTTTTCTATTCTTTTTAGTAGAGACGGGTTCTCGCTCTTGCTCAGGCTGGTCTCGAACTCCTGAGCTCAAACAATCCACCCGCCTCGGCCTCCCAGAGTGCTAGGATTACAGGCGTGAGCCAGTGCCTGGCCCTTGGCGCCCGGCCAGCACTTTGTTTCTTATCTGATTTGCACCCCTATAAGGAATTTTTAATTTATGCAAATGGACTTTGACCTTTTGAATGGGTAAAGTAAGAGAAGCCTTGATGGCCCTTGGACTCAAGCACTGTTAAAGCTATATTGTTTTTAAGCAACCACTTTAATTTTCTTCATTAGGAAAGATGAGCCTGACGTGGGCAGAATTCAGATGAGCGGGACAGTGCTGTGGAGGATCTGCGAACCTTGAAATGGTAGGCAAGGCGCAGAGGCAGATGTTGGGAAATGTCAGCGCCACCCCACACCCCTCACCCCTCCGATATTTGGCTGCGTGGAGTGCTTTGGGGGCTGGGCGGCAAGGACCACGATGTGGTCCTTGGAGAAGAGTGATGGGAGGTGGCATTGTATCAGACTTAAGCAGTGAACAAAGTTTCTTCTGAGCCTCAATGTCCAACTGGAAGCATTTTTAAGTGTCTGTGGTATGAAGGAGTCAGGGGCATGGAATAGAAGAAAACATTTCCACTCACGTGACATCTTGGCTGGCAGTGTTTGCGTGTAGATCTACTCCTGCCGACCAATTGGCACCCACTGCTGGTTTGTGGGGGCTGTTTCCATGCTCTGAATAAGGCTGTTCTCAGAAACTCCAGGGAACCATAAAGGACTTCTGTCTCGAAATGCCTTTGGTGCTCCTGCCTCTGGCGACTTGGCAAAAGGCAAAACAATTCATGCTGCATTTCTGGTTGCAACGCATGTTCACCGTTTGATTTTGTTGATATGATTTGTTTTTCCCATTTTAGGCACCAAAAACCAAGAAGGGATTGAAAGGTGAGTGGACAGATGGAACATCACCCTTAGGCCAAATATGTATCTTTTTTCCTTGGGTCCAAAAATAATTTAGACATGTCTATGTTTAAATGTTCTTAGTGAGAGGCTTGCTGTTTTTGCCATAATTCCCTAGGCAGCCTTAGTCTTCCTAGGGGACTCCTTATGCTGTCTCATTGGCCCTCAGAGAAATTCAGAAATAAATATGAGATGGGGTTTTGGGAAGAATCCTTCTTGTTGGGCTCTGAATCCAGAAGTTAATGGCTGGGGTTAAGGGTGCTAAAGGCATTTAAGACAGATGGGAAAACTAATTCAGTGTTCATACTTAGGCTTCCCCCACATGCCTCCATCAGAAAGTGGCCAAGGAGGGGTGTGTCCAGACCAGTTCAGGGGGGCGTCTCAGATGGAAGGGTACAAGGAGACTAGTGGTCTGAAAGAAGCTTGCAGATACCTAGAAGTCTTGGTCACTTTTTCCAAAGAGCTGTGCTGAGCTCTGTTTAGAGTCTGGAAGACTGATGGTGGGCTAGTGTGTCATCGGAAGGCAGGTAGAATGCAAGTTCTACTGAAAATCTATACTGTGTTCCTTTCAGAAAGTTATTTTAAATTCTGCCCTAGGGTGTTTCAACAAGGCATTTTGACTTGTTGCTAGAGACTTGGGAAACATCTCCGTGGCCAATGAAGGGAGAGTTAAACCAAAGTCTCAACATCTGAAAACTCTGAGGCCCTCGGGCAAGTCTTGCATTTAAGTTGTGTTAGAGCCGCTCTTCCCTCCTGAAGTCACAGTGGCCCCTTTTCTGTTCCAGGCTCCACCGATGATGTCCTTGGTGACCCTCTAGGAGATGATAGTAAATGCTTCTTCCCAAGAATCCACTGGTTTAGGCTTGTTTTATTTTTTTAATTGAGATATAATTCACATACCATGAAATTCATTCCTTTAAAGTGTACAAATCAGTGGCTAGGTGGTATTCACAAAGTGGTACAACCCTCACCACTACCTAATTCTAGAACATTTTCGTCACCCTTAAAGAAATCCTGGGCCTATTAGTAATCAGTCCTCCTCTTCCCCTCCCCCCAACCTTGGGCCACCACTTATTTACTCTCTGTCTCCATGGATTTGCCTATTGTGGACATTTTATATAAAATGGAATCATACAAGAACTGGCCTCTGCATCTGGCTTCTTTCCTGTAGCATAAGATCTTCAGTTCATCCGCACCGTAGCATGTTGGTGCTGCACTCCTTTTCATGGCTAGGTAATATTCCATGGCGTGGCTAGACCACATTTTGTTTATTCATTCATCAGCTGATGGACATTTGAGTTATTTCTACATTTTGGCTGTTATGAATAATGCTCTTTTGAACGTTCGCGTACGAGTTGTTGAGTGGACGTACGTTTTCAGTTCCTTTGGATATAAGCCTAGGAATGAAACTGCTGGACCACATGGAAACCGTATGTTTAACTTTTAGAGGAAACCACTTTTCCAAAGCAGCTGTAGCATTTTACATTTCCAGCAGCGGTGTAAAAGGGTTCCAGTTTCTCCACATCCTTGCCAGTGCTCATTTTCTGTCTTTTTGATTATTACCATCCTTCTGGCTATAAAATGGGTTCTCGTGGTTTCCATATACACTTCCCTAGTGACTAGTGATACTGATCAGCTTTCACGTGCTCACTGGCCATTTGTGTATCTTCTTTGGAGAAATGTCTCTGTTCCAGATCCTTTGATCCTTTTTATTTGTCTTTTTATTGTTGAGTTGTAAGAGTTTCTTATATATTCTGGATACTAATCCATTATTCTTTGTGTTCTTTGCTGTATTGAGGAGCAGGGCTCTATGGTCATGCAAAGCTCACCAGGGACAGTGAGGCTTAGGTTTCCCCCACATGGCCCGCAGGAACCCACAAAGCACAAGCCGGTGTGTTCCAACCTGCAATTTTTTGTTTTTCTTTTTTGAGACAAGAGCTATCTCTGTTGCCCAGGCTAGAGTGCAGTGCCGTTATTGTAGCTCGCTGCAACCTCAAACTCCTGGGCTCAAGCGATCCTCCTGCCTCAGCCTCCCCAGTAGCTGGGACTACAGGCGTGAGCCACCACACCCAACTAATTCATCTATTTTTTTTTTTTTTTTTTTTTGAGACAGAGTCTCACTCTTTTGCCCGGGCTAGAGTGAGTGCCATGGCGTCAGCCTGGCTCACAGCAACCTCAAACTCCTGGGCTCAAGCGATCCTACTGCCTCAGGCTCCCGAGTAGCTGGGATTACAGGCATGTGCCACCATGCCCGGCTAATTTTTTTTTTTATATATATTTTTAGTTGGCCAATTAATTTCTTTCTATTTTTAGTAGAGACGGGGTCTCCCTTCTTGCTCAGGCTGGTCTCGAACTCCTGAGCTCAAACAATCCGCCCGCCTGGGCCTCCCAGAGTGCTAGGATTACAGGCGTGAGCCACCGCGCCCGGCCTCATCTATTTTTTTTGTAGAGACAGGATCTTGCTCTTGCTCAGGCTGGTCTCAAACTCCTGGCCTCAGGCAATCCTCCTGCCTCAGCCTCCCAGAGTGCTAGGATTGCAGGCATGAGCCACCACGCCTGGCCCCAACCTGCAATTTTGGGCAGTGGAAGTGTTGCTCCTGCTTTTCTGTGGGGTGTGGTTCAGTTGGGTTGGGCTCTTCATTTGGCACTCGCTGGCATCTGGAGTTGACTCACCACCCTTTCCCCCATACAGGTTTTTCAAGGGGTAACATTGGGACCTGCCTATGGGGCCAGTTTCCTCCCTCCAAACACACCTTTCTTTCAGTGGGAGAGTCTGGGAGATAGCTTGGTGAGGGAAGTCACCACCCTTTTCATCTTGACTCCACCTCTCTGTAGCTGAATGATATCTCTTCTGTTTTCTTTTTTGCCAGTGACACCACCTGAGAAACCTGTTAAACAAGCTTCACGTGCCAGAGACACCACAGGTGTATCTCAGGCTCTTCCTTCAAAGGCCAGAATGAAGTAAGCGTGAGAGCGGCTTGGGCACCCATGACCTATTTCAGTCCAGATGCTTTCTGCCCTCTACCCCCCACTTCCTGCTTGGCATGTGGAGCTTCTAATGTCAGTAATTTCCACCCCTTCCCTCAGCTTCCAGCTGCTGGAGGCACCTGGGGGAGTTGAAAGAGAACTGAAGTGGAGGTCAGAAGTCCTGGATTCTTGTCCTACATGTGCTACTTACTGTGTGACCTTAGGCAATATCTGGACCTCTCTGAGCCTCAATTTTTTTTCTTTTCCTCATAATAAAAGGATTGGCCTAGATCAGGGATTTTCAAATTGTGTTCGTTCTAAGGTTCTACTAACAGGTGAGAGAGAAGGGAGGTGCTCTGTGAGCTCCCCACCCTCTACTCTCATCAGAACTACAGCAGTTGTTTTTTTCTCTCTTACCTATGGTTTTTAGCAATTTGTTCTTTTTTTTTTTTTTTTTAAGCGGCTCTACTACTTTAAAAAAAGTTAAAAATCACAGCATTAGGTGGCCCGTGAAATACCTTTTAGCAACTCTGTTCTCCTGGAGAAGTCTGTCCAAGTTCATTTGGACTCTGTAAGCCACTCTTCCTTTTTTAGAGCCATCTAGTGCCCTGGGGATGAGGAGAGGTGCTGATTCCACCCCTTTGCAGGTCCCTCCTGGAAGACGGCCCCAGGGCAAGCCTGGCAGGAGCTGATGCGGAGGTGAGACCAGCCCATTCTCCAGTCCTGAGCCTCTCTTCTTATCCCTGAAAGTAGTGAGATGGGCACTGTGGCCAAGGGGCTACTCATAGAAGGGTTTAGAAGTCTCTGCATTCAGTTCTTTTGTGGGGGAAGAGGTTGCTGTTTTTTAGAGACGGAGTCTCACTCTGTCACCCAGAGCCCAGGCTGGAGTGCAGTGGTACGATTGCTCCAGCGATCCTCCTGCCTCTGCCTCCCAAAGTGCTGGGGTTATAGGCATGAGCTACCATACCAGCCCAGTTTGTTCTTAAAGCAGAATAATTCCTAAGGGCTGCCTAGTGGATCCAAAGTAATGTCCTTCTCCTTTCCACCAGTAAGGTGAGCTAGAAAGGAGAGCGCCTAGCGACCGTGGGAGTCTCGGGTGTTGCCCCTTTCCCGTCATAAACTCCCCAGCTCTCCAGCCACGTGCATGGGAAGTTGCAGAACTTCAGTCCTGTGAGGGACGAGGTCTCTGGCTTGGGAGGAGGAGAAAGTGGCAGCACTTTCTGGGTCTCCACAACCAGGCAGGTTTGACTTGAAACAACAGCCAAGCCCAAATGCGGGAGACACAGCGACCCTCCTGTTAAGGCTCCGTTGGCTGAGCTCTGCTCCTGCCAGCAGTCTGCCCTAAAGCAAGGGGCCAGAGCCCTGAGTGTTTTGGGCCTTGTCTAATTAACGTTCTTCTTGTGGACTTAGGTTTCAGATATCTCAGATGCAGACCCAGAGGCTTTGCTGCAGGCCATAAAGGTAAGGAACCAGCTTGCACAATTGGGGTGGGGGCTGGAGGCGGGGGCACGTAGTGATATTTCATGCCAGGGCTTCATTCTCCCTCTGATTTCTCCCTTTTCAACTCATGTTTCTGAGCCTTCCTGGTGCAAGAATGGAGCTCAGCCATGAGCTGTTGGCCTTCTTGCCTGTCTGGGTATGAGCCAGTTTTCCTGGTTTACAGAGAGTGGACAGTCTCTGCCACGGGCCTCTGGTGGAGCGGGGCCAGCCCTACCCGAAGGCTCACCTGGCTGGGCCCCCCCACTCCCCTCCCCACCTAGGGGGACAGAGGGGAGACTGTCTCCTCCGACATTTGTTCTTACCCTTTCTCCGTATTTCTCTCCACATTCCCTGCCATATCCCCTTCAGATGGGCACTGCTGTCATTAGATCAAGCCCAAAGCTGATCTTTGCAATGGAATTTTTAAAGCATCAATTTTGAACAGTTGATAAGAACATAATCTCATAGTGCTCGGGTAGCTTGGCCTGGGCTGCCTCTCTCTCCCTCCCCTTCCAGCCAGCAGCACCTCCTGTCTGTCCCTTGGCCTCATGTCCCTTCTGGTTAACCCATTTTTCTACAGTCCCTGGGTTTAAGGCTGAGCTCTTGGTTCCAGCCCTGTGGGGCTCTAAAGAATTTATGTGTGTTCCGTTGTGTCCGAACCAGCTTCTTTAAACCCAATTTGAAATCTCTCTTCCCAGGACCAGCCGGCTGGGACCCCTGGGCATGACCCGCAAGTCCACTGACTCAGTCTTTGGTTGTGACTTTGAGTCTCTCATTCCAGAACAATTAGCTAATGCCTCTCCCTACCCTCTGCTTACCTTTGGTTCGATTTTTTCTTTCCTAACTCACCTCTTTTCTCACCAGTTTTCTCATTATCCTGTGATTTCTCACAATTCTGCCCCTGGGTGCCAGCTGCCCATCTCAGATGGGAGTCCTCATCCGCTTGTCAGCTGTCATACTCCATCCCTCCTGCTTTGCTAGGACCTGGACGACATGGATGCTGACCTTTTCGGTCTGAAGAAGTCTAATCCGGCCTCCAGCAAAAGAGCTGCAAAGGGCCCTGGGAAAGAAGAACTGCCCAGTGACCCCAGACCTGCTGGCAAGTTAATAGCCAACGAGAGAGGTGCATGGGAAGGAGCACCCTGAAGCCACCGGGGAGGCCTTGGGGACATGGAAGATGCTTAGAAGGAAGCTTTCGTGTCCTGTGGGTTTTCTCTGCCCGGGGTGGAGAGTCCCAGGAGCAGCTGTGCGTGTGTGTAGGAGTGATTACAGTGGGGAGGGGACAGGTGACTTTCCTCCCTTCCTGGGGCTGTTCAGTCCCTCTGAGTCCAACACGGGAAGCTCCTGGAGAAACTCTGTCCATTAAAATGGACAGTCGTTTGGTACCAGCTGGGTGTCTAAAATCAAAAACAGAAAAAAAAAAAAAAAATGGACTGTCATAGGGTAGCCTGTGCATCTCCCAAACCCATGTCTCTGTTGGGAGTGACTCCTTACGAGGAGGGCAGGAGGTAGGAACCGTGTGAGAACTGAGGCGTAGACCCCTCCTGTGGCTGTTCACGGTCGTGAGCCCTCAGCTTCCCAGGAAGAAGTGCACCCTTCCCAGAGCCCCAGAACGTGGTGTGGGAGGAGGACCCTGGCAGGAGGACCCAGGCCCACAACGTTGTCTTCTTTTTGCTTCCTGCAGGGGATACCATTGCCACCAAGAAGCCACCTCCCTCTCCCGGCAGCTCGCCTCAGCATCAGTACAGGAGGTTTTCCTTTGGAGGTACCATCGCCCCCGTCATGTTTCTGGGACACCCTGGTTTGAGGGGGGAGTAGCCTGGGTGATGCCTGCCTGCCCAAGGCCAGGTTGCGGTGTGTGTCTACGGGAGGAGAAAGCTGGTGCCACAGGTTCAGCTCCTCGTGGATCCAGGGAGGGTCTGGTGATGTCCTGGCTCGGATATTTGGTTACTCATTTGCAAAGACTTTGAAGCCGGGTATCAAACTGAAGATTTTATACTTTAGGAAAAAGTCCCTTTCCCTTCATGAATGCACGAATGTTTTACTTCTCTTTTGATGCCATGGGGATATTTCCAAAAGGCCATGCAGCCAGCAGAGTCAGAGGCCCCACGGGCGAGCCCAGGGCGGACCCGGCAGGCCCATGGCCACCCTCCAACTCCCTCTCCCCTGGCTGAGCCTTGTCTGGGTGTCAAACCTCTGAGCACAGGCCCCATCCGGGCGCTGAGGGGCTTGCTCATGTCTCAGAGCAGCGGGAAATCTGGACTCGAGTAAGAACTCCCTCAGCTTTGGGCTTGCTTTTCCTGAACTAAGTGCTGCAGTCTGACCTGTGCTTTCCCTTCCGCTGGGAGACTCGGAGGACCCGTTGGCAGGACTTCTCTCCGATGATGAGGAAGAAATCGCCAAGAAGCCGCCCGTGACGGGGAGTAAGGCTGCTTCTGACAAGAGCCCCGGCACAGTCAGAGATCAAGGTAAGAAGGAGTGGGCTCATTTCTCATCCTGGGGGCAACAGGCTAACTGACCTTACTGGTGAAGAACCAGAAACCTCAGCAGAATGGGGACCAGAGGTCTAAGGTCCAGGATAAAGAAATTATCAGTGTCTAAGAACAAGGAGGTGGGATACGTGAGTCTGGGTGCAGGGGGGGTGGGGTTGTCCCGTGGGCAGGCCAGACAAGTACAATGCCTGCCGCCCCACCCAAAGTCAGGGTTGCAGAGAAACATCCCCCCTCCTATTCACGTATCACAGTTGAGGGCAAGACCGCTGCAGGCACTGGGCCTGTGTTCTCTCTTTTAGGTCCTTCTATTCCTCTGACTCCTGGGGACACCCCTGTCCGAAAGAAAGAACTGTTTGATGACGGGGATGACATCATGGCTGCCCTGGGGTTTGGAGACAGCCCCAGTGCAGAGAGGAGGCAGATGGGAGGCCAGTAAGGATCCCTGTGCGCAGAAAGCCCCTGGCCAGGCTGCTGCTTTAGGTCCCGGGAAAGGCTAGTGGGCGGTACAGCGTGGGTGCCCCAGGAGCCCCTTGTAGTCACACGTCCCTGTCCTGCATCCCATCCTGCAGGGAAGGGCCCCGTCCTGCACGCTCCAAGCTGGATGAGCTGCTGGGCCGAGGCACTGCCACCACACTGCTGGCCTGCCCAGGCACAGGGGAGCGCAGGGAGTTCGAGCTAGACAAGAAGTACCAGAGGCCGCAGGGTGAGGAAGCTTGGGGGTCAGCAGGGAAGGGGAGGCGGGCCTCTAGACCAGGTTGTTACCATCACCCGTGATGAGAAATAAGCTTTACACGATGATACACACATATCGTGCTACACATTTATAACTGAGACAAAAGCGTCGTCAGATAATACTTAGCCATTACTGTTGTTCGATATTCTTTTTTATTGAGATGCTATTTGATTTAGAAATACACTGATTGTGACTCATTGAGTTGGTTTCTCCACCCGCTAATGGGCAGCTGCTCACAGTTTGAAAAACACTGTTCTGGATCAGTGTTTCTCAGAGCATCGGCCCACAGGCCATCTGTTGGGAGTTGTCCTTGTGACAGCGCAGCTCACTGGGCTTTAGGGGATCTTGGGCAGGGCCTGCCTAGTGCATCTTCCCAGCTCCCCGTCATCTTGCAGTTGCTCCCCCAGAACAGCTTCTCTGGTCATCTTAGACGTTGAGCTGCCAGTTCAGCTTTTTTTAGACAAAGAGTTCTGCGGCTGCAGAAGAGTTTGGCTTACCCTGCTCTACATCGTGGTCACAAGCCCCTTAATTGACAGATGAAGATGCCTGGGACGATGAGGACTTCACCTTCGGAGCCTATCAGCCCACCGTGGGCTCCTCCAAGGGCCGGCAGTCCCGCCGGCAGTTGGTCAGGTAAGAGGGGTCTGCAGGGGGCTTGGGCTCTGAGGCAGGATGGCCACTGGGAAGATAGGCCCCTGCAGCCTTCCCCCATCCCATCCGACAGCCTTTCGTGGGAAGCCACAGTGTGCAGGGCCCTAGGCTCTGTGGGTGCTGGGGGAGAAGGAGGTTGCCCAGTCCTGCCTGCCTGGGCAGGAGGTGGCAATGGCCCCCGAGCGGGAGCCCCGTCTCCACTTGGGCTGTCAGTGCCCAGGCCAGTCTCAAAAGGACAGGAGAAGGTGGGCCTGCCCCCGCCTGAAGACCCTGAAAGCCACAAGAGGCTGTGATGTCACTTGGCTCCTGAGGAACATACAGCCCAAGGGGTAGCAGAACCACTGGCCTTCCATGGGGGCTTCTCAGGCTGCACTCCCCAGGAACACCGCCGTCGGACCTGCCATGACAGTCCTGAAAGTGTGTTCCTCCCAGTTTGCAACAAAAATTAAATCAGTGATTTTTCTGAATGTGGAGTTTTCTCCCAGTACGTATTTTAGGTTTTGTATTTTGAAGTAACATTAAACCTACGGAAGAGTACAAGGAGCTGTCTCCCAGCCTTTGCCCAGACTCAGCGGTTGTTAACATCACCACGCTGGCTTTATCAGCCTCTCTTTCTGTCTGGGTAGCTGTATGCACATGCTGACTTTCTCCCACTCCCAGAATGGGAACCGGCTGCCGCTGGTCAGTAACCAATGTAGGCAGTGGCTGAGCAAATGGACAAGTAGCAAAGTGGCTGTTGATGGAAATCCTGGGACCTACTTGAACCAACTGATTTTACTCTGGACACGTGTCTGTGCTTGTAATTTTTTTTTTTAGACAG